GGTAGTTGATATTGCCAACTGAACAGGCTCTATCCGTTTCCCAAGTAAGTCAGCGAATATAAGTATTGATATGGTGTGATTTCTGTCTGTAAAAAGCTGTATTCATTGTCGGGGATCTGGAAGGAGCCTTTGTTCCTAATAGAAATACTGTTTGGTAGATTTTGCGTTTTGTAGGTACAGGTGTTTTGTTTTGCATGAAAGTGCCATTAATTACCTTTCAAAATGTATGGAGAATAGTATCGTTCATATGTTCAGATGCGTAACACGAATGCGACGGATTAAATGTTGACTTCCATTTCCGATGCGCACTTCGACAACAATAGTTGCAACATAGTCCGAGAACACAACCCATACTGACGAGCTGCATTAAAACTTTCCTGCGAGTCACATGCTGGGCTGTTCGCAAAAGCCACACGGGTAAACTTTTACGGCAATGCTAACTTTGCCGATCAGTAATGCATAGCGTCGTCTGTCGACGGACGGCTCGCTTCTCTCCGCTGTTGGGACGATGCACGTGGGACGTTTACGCGCACAGGAGCGGCGCTCGGCGGGGAGACAAAGCGAGTTCTCCCAGCTCTGTCCTCTGGCGCTGCAGCTCCTCGCTGGGGGGCCGCGCCGGTGACCCTCCCCGCCGGGCCCATTACAGTCTCTGAGTGCGGGCGCCCTCGACCAGCAGACGGGAAGCCATCGGCGCCATCAGCCGACACGTGCTCAGCCACCAGCGATAAGAGGAGCCCTCGGATACGGCCGAATCAGCCGGCCGGAAATGCTACTGGCGCGGCCCGGGCGACCTCGGGGACCCTGGGAGACCCAGGCGGAACTGGGAGATCGTGGAAGACCACGGCGGAACCTAACAGACCCTGGTAGACCTCAGCAGACCCCGGCAGATCTCAGCAGACCCCGGCAGATCTCAGCAGACCCTGGCAGACCAGGCCGTCTGGCCCGGGCGAACGGTGCTGCAGTATAGGTCATTCACAAACGTAAATTACCGTCACCCGGCCGCCGGCGTGAACAGTAGGCAATTAACAATCCTGGAAGCCGGCAGCATGCGGCAGCTGAGCTGGACAAAGCTTCCGGCAGGGTTGCACAGAGACCCTGGTGTGGCAGAACTAAGAACAGCTCTCGGCAGAGCTACACCAGCGCACAGTGCTCCCGGCACAGCTGCGCTACATTGAGCTGCACTGAACTAAATACCAAACGGAGCTGCACTGAGCTCCCAGCAGAGCTGTACTGAACTTCCAACAGAGCTGCACTGAGCTCCCGGCAGAGCTGCACTGAGCTTCCAACAGAGCTGCACTGAGCTCCCGGCAGAGCTGCACTGGGCTTCCAACAGAGGTGCAATGAGCTCCCGGCAGAGCTGTATAAAGCTTCCAACAGAGGTGCACTGAGCTCCCGGCAGGTCCTGCGTAGCACACCAGATAGAGCTCACTAAGCTCCCAAAATAGCTACATGCTCGTAGAGCTACTGGACGGTACAACTCAGCAACGGTCGCACGTGCTTGCGTAGACCCTGAAGCCGTTTAGAGGCAGTGGAGTCAGTTCTAACTAAACTATTATCGCATGTTTTCAACAACTGCGCTGTATCTAAGAAGGAAGTGAATGAATGAATGAAGAAAATAAGGAAGCCCGGCAGTGTATCTTGCTACGGCAAGCTTGCATTATTCGTGGCGAGACACTGTAGGTGCAGCTGAAAGCCTCACTCTGTTCAGTTTTCACAGACCTGAACAAAGAGATCGAACTGCCGGTATGGTCTGTTGTACTAAGTATTTGCCCGCTATACCTGTGCAAGCAGTTGCAAGGGCGTGTCAAGGTGACAGAGTGCGTGTCAGTGCAGCGGTGCCTGCAGAGGCCGAGCTCGTTGTTCCAGGGTGTCTGACCCCGGGCAGGGAGAAAGAGCGAGAACAGAGCGTCGGAGAGAGAGAAGGGGAGGGAGAGCGAAATGGCCAGGCGTTCGGACAGCTTCCATTGTCCATGAAATGAGCCTGTGGAGCGGGGGCGATGGGTGTTGAGCGCCGGCGGCGGGCCCGGGGAAGTGCCGACGGACAGCCGACGTGGATTGCGGGGGGGGGGGGGGGTCAGAGGGGAGGAAGCTTGGGAGGAAGGGAGAGAGGAGATGAGTATGAAGTCGGGAATACTGTCGAAAATAGATAATTGATAATGTAAGATGAAAGATCTAACTCTAACAGTATATTTTATACAGTTTGACGCCAGCGTATACCTATGTGTCTTTATCAACAGGTATAATATTCATTAAGGTCTTTTTAAAACATAAAATAAGATGTGCGAGCTCAACTCCAAACTCCACTTTGCAGTGAGGCAAGCTCCTTTCTATTTTCCGGAGGCATTTTCTGCTAAATTTATGAATCATTCTCGAAATGATTGTGATAAGGTCCGGGAACGTTTTCTTTAGTACACCCCAAGGTAAGCTTAAACGGCCAAATTACGGCAACTCGACTGAAATATATTAGCTTGTTGTTCTCGTTTTAAAATGTATATGGAGCCACCTCATTTTTGAATAAGTGAATGGTGCACACTGTTTTTTGGCTTTTTTATTATTTTGTCTGGTACCGTCGTTTCCCGGGACACTTTCTTCAACAATAATAGCAGGTTTACGCAAATACAAGCGAAAGCATCATCGAAAACTTGTTAATGAGATTTGGCAAATTAAATTATTACGTTGTTATACCCGCTATCTTGATCCTGATCCTGCTAAAAGTTCATCAAACTACGTCAAGAACCTGGCTGCCTATAAGAGTTCCCTGCAGAAGTTTTATAAATCTAGTAGTGTGGAATCCTGAAATATGCGCCTAATTGGTTCCAAGTGGAAATCAGGGACGGAGCTTCTTATTCAGTTGGTGGGGCGGCTGCCCCACCAACTTGCCATTTTGCCCCACCAATGAATATTTTGCTCCACCAACTCAAGCTGATTAGTACGACTTTGTAGCTTAGCAAACCAATCTTCTTCGCATTGAGGAGGTTTGAATTGTCTGTGTAATGCAAAATATTATCTCTGTACCTAATGAAAAGAATTGATTCAGTGTTATATTGTTCTACAACCCGCGCCCCGCTGGGCTATTCAGCCATACGCGCCCTGCTGGGGGGGGGGGGGGGCAGATTCTGCCCCCCCCCCTGTCTAACTTCCGAACCGATGGTCGTAGAAAGACGGGGAAAACGGCAATCGAAAGCTCTCAACAAGGCGGATCTTAAGAGCCCAAATTTTTTTGCTTAAATAGGTCAGAGGTCAGGTCAAGGTCAGGTCAAGGGTACAAAACGCAAGTTTCTACAGTATCGGCCTTGCACCGTAGTTGCCGAAGAATGGACTGAGACTGATTGCCCAAAACGTGTTCTTAGACTACCAAGACAATATTCATGGCACACAATGTCATTCAAAGGTCAAGGTCAAGGTCATGTCAGGTCAGGTCAGGTCACCAAAAACAAAATATAGAAAAGGGCATGTGCGACACATGTTTTATGGGTCATTTTACTCATGGAATTCAATAGGCACACTCAATAAGTGATATGGACCACCTCTGGATGAATTTCAGGTCGAGGTCAGGTCAAGGTCAGGTCAAGTGAGGTCAAATTTTGAAGTTGGTTGTTAAGGCCTAAAAAGGTGTCTATCCGATGCAGTTTTTCACGGCGAATCGAATGGTGCTATTTTTGTTTCCGTACGAGGTCTAGAACTTCCAAAAAAATCATTTTTCAAAAATTTTGTGTGTCGTGACGTCATCAAATTTTGAATAACTCCCACATTTTTGAACCGATTCTTCTAAAAATTGGTATGTAGGTGCACATAGACCACTTCTTTGACATATATTCCGGTTTTTTCGATAAACTCAAAATTTTGGATTTTATAAATATTTTCCCAAAAAAGTCAGTTTTTTGGAAAAATTTTGGCCAAAATCAAAAATTTCCAAAAACCCGAGATAGCCATTTGATAGACAAAGTAGAATAACGTATAACCTTTTTTGTTACGTCTTGATTCCTTTAAAAATGAAGATGTAAGCGGCGTTTGAAATTTTGCCGTTTTTTGAGGCGAAAATGGCGAACATGACGTCACTAAAACGTCAATTTCTCAAAAATTTTCCGACGGATTTCGCTCAAATTTTCAGGGAACGTGTCAAATTGATGTATGATAAGGTACTGAAAGTTTGACGTCGCTGGCGTAACGCGTTTAGAAGTTATTGGCGAAAAACGGGAGGGGGGGCAGATTCTGCCCCCCCCCCCCAGCGGGGCGCGGGTTAACAATCGGACATTGTAGGTTTGGCAAGTTTTTGCCCCACCAACTTCCCTGGAAAAGCTCCACCTATGGTGGGAATGGGTGTTTCAATAGACGTTTCGTTTTGTGACTGAGCACTAGTATTGCACAATACTTTCAAAACCATCGTTACCAACAAATGTGTGTAGTGTGTCTTACTCTGCTGGCCCATCATATTCTTATAAACGGCCACATCACCACCAATATCGTCGGTACCATTTAACTTTTGACACTTTCCTGACCACTGGTCACATATAGTCCCGATCATGCCCCACCCATAGTAACGTTCCTATCTGACTGTCTCTGTGTCTGTGTCTGACAGAGACGTCTGACTGTCCCGCCGTCTCTGTATTCACAGACGCGCCGGTGTGTGCCGACTCCCAGCGGCTCTGAACTGACTGTCTAACTGTCTCGTCTCCGTGTCCACACTCCACAGACGCGCCGATGTGCGCCGAACCCGACCCTCAGCGGCTGTGACTGTGTCCAACCCTGTCTGACTATCCCTCTCTCCGTCTTCACAGATGCGCCGGTATGTGCCGACTCTCAGCGGCTCTGACTGTGTCTGACCCGTCTAATTGTCCCCGTCTCTGTGTTCACAGACGCGCCGGTATGTGCCGACTCCCAGCGGCTCTGACTGTGTCTGACCCGTCTAAACGTCTCTGTGCTCACAGACGCGCCGGTGTGTGCCGACTCCCAGCGGCTCTGACTGTGTCTGACCCGTCTAAACGTCTCTGTGCTCACAGACGCGCCGGTGTGTGCCGACTCTCAGCGGCTGGTGTACGGCGTCTCACGCGGCGAGCAGGTCTCGGTGTTGTGCCGGGTCGACTCCGATCCGCCTCCCAGCAACTTTGGCTGGACCATGAACGGTTCGGACCACGTGCGTTCTCTGACTGCCGGCGTCGGTCACTGGCCGGCCGGGCCGCACACGAGCAGTGTGATAGTGGAGCCACATCATGATCGAGACTACGGCACACTGCTGTGCACCAGCTCTAACCGGGTCGGAAGGCAGGCGCAGCCGTGCGCCTTCAAAATCGTGCCCGCAGGTGAGCGAATTGTTCGGGGGCAGATGGGGGTGTGGTCGTGGTGGGATGGGGATGGAGGGCATTTTGACAAGGAGAGGAAGTGCTGTAATGGAGCAGGGTATAGTTACAGAGTGCCAGAGAATGGAATGTCCTTCATAACTGTTATGTCTCATGGTACAGTGAGCTAAGTAGGTAAATAAATTTTGAACTAGCGTGAAAGACCGCATTTCGTCAGGCTAGTTCTGCACAATGTTGCTGGTTTATAGAAACTTAGGTCTTTGAATTTAAGCTGGAACTTCTGGATTCTCTTCACAAAGCCGTCAAAGGAGTGGAACTTCTCCTGAATAGTTCTCTCCTGAAATGTATTAACCCGCGCGGGGCTGGGGTCTCCAGCCGAACGCGCGGGGCTGGGGGGGGGGGGGGTAAATTTTACCCCCCCTGTTATCTCCCGAACTAATGGTCCGATTTGGAAAATTCAAACGCCAATCGAAAGCTCTCATCACGAACTACTAACAACATGTACTTAATTTAAAGTTTGAGGTCAAGGTCAAGGTCAGGTCAAGGGTACAAATTGCAAGTTTCTACAGTATTGGCTTTGCACCGTAGTTGCCGAAGAATGGAGTCATGGACTGAGACTGATCGCCCAAAACGTGTTCTTAGGCTACCAAGACAATATTAGTTGCATACAATATCATTCAGAGGTCAAGGTCAAGGTCAGGTCAGGTCAGGTCAGGTCACCAAAAAACAAAATATAGCAAAGGGCATGTGCGACACATGTTTTATGGGTCATTTTACTCATAGAATTCAATAGGCACACTCAATAAGTGATATGGACCACCTCTGGATGGATTTCAGGTCGAGGTCAGGTCAAGGTCAGGTCAAGTGAGGTCAAATTTTGAAGTTGGTTGTTAAGGCCTAAAAAGGTGTCTATCTGATGCAGTTTTTCACGGCGAATCGAATGGTGCTATTTTTGTTTCCGTACGAGGTCTAGAACTTCCAAAAAAGTCATTTTTCAAAAAAATTGTGTGTCGTGACGTCATAAAATTTTGAATAACTCCCACATTTTTGAACCGAATCTTCTAAAATTTGGTATGTAGGTGCACATAGACCACTTCTCTGACATATATTCCGGTTTTTTCGATAGACTCAAAATTTTGGATTTTATAATGATTTTCCCAAAAAAGTCAGTTTTTTGAAAAAAATTAGGCCAAAATCCAAAATTTTCAAAAAACCGAGATAGCCATTTGATAGACAAAGTAAAATTACGCATAACCTTTTTGTTACGTCTTGATTCCTTTAAAAATGAAGATGTTAGCGGCGTTTGAACTTTTGCCGTTTTTGAGGCGAAAATGGCGAACATGACGTCACTAAAACGTCAATTTCTCAAAAAATTTCCGACGGATTTCGCTCAAATTTTCAGGGAACGTGTCAAATTGATGTAAAAAAGGTACTGAAAGTTTGGCGGCGCTGCGCGCCGCCGTTTTTGAGATATCGCAAAAATTCGCGAGGGGGGGTAAAATTTACCCCCCCCCCAGCCCCGCGCGGGTTAACGTAACGCTTGGACTCTGGATGCCTTTTCCTGGTACATCCGTTCCCTCTGAATGAGCTTCACGTGGAATTCCGATTTCACGAGGACTACATGAGCCAAACTGAATAGATAAAAAGAACAGTCAGTTGGTATATCCGGTATGCGAAGAGCACATTCAAATCATTGCGAGCATTACAAACTTACAAACCTGCGCCACTAAAATGGCGGTGCCATTTGAGTGTCATGATTATTTTCTTATAGAACTAACCCGGTATTTTGGCGCGCGTGATTTTACCTATTATTATGCCTACCACATGCCTAGCTCGAAAATATGACGGTAGATGGTCCATCATCAACGGGGAACCGATTTTCGTACAGGCTAATTGACATTTATATTAGCTGTCGTTAGTCAAAGTGTCAGCATTGCTACAAGAAAAAGAGAAAAACACTATCCCCAAGAGTCTGACGATCTGGAGGCTAATTTTTATTTATTTGAATGTATGTGATGTCCACTCATTTGAATAATGCGCGAAAATGACCATTTGCTGGCGCTTGTCGTGTTTTCCAAAGGCAAGCGAACGTAATGTAGCCTTTTTTATGATTGAGGTTTTAGGACATACGCCTGCGCTAATTGTAAGCATTGATGGTGGCCATATGTTTACACGATATAATTCGTAATTAAGTCACCCAACAAAGTGAAAGCAAATGATGTCCTTTCATTCATCGCTGTCCTTCTCAAGAATAATAGAATGCATACCTGTACAGTGTACACTATAATGCACATGTACCGTGGTAATGTGAAACACTTCACCTTGTTTTTCTCTTTCTTTCTTTTTTCTTCCCTACGACTACGTCTACATGTTCTTCCTTCCCTTCTTTCCTGCTCTCTCTCTCTCTCTCTCTCTCTCTCTCTCTCTCTCTCTCTCTCTCTCTCTCTCTCTCTCTCTCTCTTTCATTTTATTTAGCCATTTTAATCAGCTCACCTCTTCCAAGCCACACTGGTCCACTGCTGCACAATCTGTAACTTCCCGATCCTCCTAATGACACTGCCCATCCCCTCACCCCGTAATGTACGAGTATACCACCGGGGTCTAACCCAGTCTCTGACACCCCTGTCCCCTCTCACCCACAGGCCCTCCGGAAGTGGTTCGCGGATGCTCAGTGACCAATCAGACCGACGTCTCGTTCGTGGTTCACTGTTCGGCCGGCTTTGACGGCGGGCTTCACCAGCAGTTCACTCTGGAGCTGTTCAGCAGCGAGCAGCGACTGAGGCTCAACACCAGCCGAGAACAGCCACACTTTGGTGTGGCCGGCCTGGAGCCAGGTTGGTTGCTAGGCCGCCGAGCCGTTGCTAGGCGCCCGCCGCATTGGGTTTCCAGGCCGACGTGTCGCTAATCGCATGTGAGAACACTCGGCGCCGACATGAAAGGAGTGTGCGATTGTCTGGCTGACTGCGTACTGCGGCGAGCACTCAGACGCAGCTTTTCACACTGAGGTGACACATTTTCCGGCCGGCTTTTGTGCTGATTTGCCGCTCGGCTCGCCGGGACCGCCAGCCTGCCCATGGGGACGGCACCAGTCGTATTTGGTGTAATCCGGCCATAAAGATGACGATGGCTGGTGCGATGGCGGTGCCGATTCAGTGCCGCTGTATAGGGGCTCCGGGCGGCGCGGGGACTTATTCGGGCTGGCGCCGGCTGCACCGGCACGGCTCTGCGCCTAATCCTCCATCAGAGATCGGGTACGAACTAATCAGCGACCCTGTCGCCGCCCGGGGGCACGCAACGGTCACCGCCAGGGTCACGAGACAATTTATCACTCACCGGGTGGAACAGTGCTGTCACGGCGCCCAGGACGACATGACACGAAAAGGTGACCTTGGATGAGACACGGCTGTGTTGTCTGGGGCGTGACGACACTCGAAAACTGGCAGAACTGCACGGGAGAAAGGTGGTGCTACTTTTTAGCAGACTGAGTCTGTGGTTTTCCCACGTTAGAGACGCCACCAGGTTCAATACGCTTACAAGCGCGTGAAACGCCGCCTGTAGAATCCCACATGTGGTGTGCGTACCAGCACACGCGTGCGTGCGCCCGCCCCTCCCTTCCGGGCTTCCCCTACACATATTGGGACCGTATTCGCATTCACGACGCTATCGGCACGCATCAGGAACGTAATTACGCATTGTTGCGTGTCGGCTGCGGCAGTGCGCATAATGTAGCACACGACTTGGCCAGTGTTTCACATGACAACGGTCCCACGGATGAAAACATCGACTGTCCTGCCAATGGGCTGCGGTCACTGACATGGAACCAGCATTTGCACACAATGAAAACTGCAAGACGGTTGAGGTGAATTCATTTTCAAGCTACATAAGTGAACCATAGATCGTAATAAAACATTATTTGCTCTGCCGTGCGCTGTCCTAAGCATTGCCAATACTGTCCACCTGAAGACTATAAGCACCCAATAATGCTTCATCAAGATAAATAACTCATTTTACTCATACTTGTTTCACTAACAGACCCAAAGCGAGTCCTTAAAACTTCGACCATTTTTGAATATACATGAAAATGAAACTAAAACATCCATCCAAAGACTTCACTAACCAGCGATCCCTCCGCAGGCGTCCAGTACACAGCCTTGGTGTACGCCTTCAACAAGAAGGGCGCCAGTCCGCGGGTGCGCATCACAGTGGCCACCCAGATGGCAGCCGAGCAGAGGACCGGAAAGTCGACTCAAGGTATGTTCTCTTGGAAGGGGTATGACCCATGACCTTGTTTTTAAAATGCATTGTATGCAGAGGTCCATGCAAGTGCGTTATGAGATATTACAAGTCACGGAAAATCGTAAGCATTCCAGCACTCAAGCAGCTTGGGAAAGTGTTGTGGGTGTTTTGGAAATCAGCTGTACCTACTAGCTGGTCTGTTGGACAAATCAGCTAGGTACAACCATGGATGATATAGAGGCCTGGCTACACTATGCGTTTTCTGCGTGCGTTTTTGCAGGTTTGCGTGTTTTGCGTAATATCGTTCTAGGAAAAAAGTTATAAACAATATAATTTTTGCTTTGGTTATATACAAAAGCTAATATAACTCTTATGTAACTAAAATTTAAGGTGAAAAACATCACAAAAACGTAATATCGTTCTTTTTTCTAGAACGATATCACGCAAAACACGCAAACACGCAAAAAAACGCACGAAGAAAACGCATAGTGTAGCCAGGCCTTTACACTGGATTGGTGTCTCGTGGAAATTAACAATGGGATCCGCGACATTGGGATCAGGCCTGCCATCTAGCGAGAGAATTATCGTAAGTTAGGAGCAAGCCGAGTGAACGCCATCTCTCAGCATTATCCCGGCCGGGCCCGGGGGGTAATCCCAACCACCGCAGCCCGGGGGGGGGGGGCGTTTTTCGCCCCCCCCCCCGTCTAACTCCGTAAAGAAGGGAGCTACGGAAACAAAAGCGATACCAAACGAAAGGTCCTTACGAGACGATTCTAAAGCACCTAAATTTTTTGACCTCAGGTCAATTTTCAAGGTCAGAGGTCAAGGTCAAAGGCAAAAACCGGCACATGTGTAGTGATCTCGAAGTAAGCCTTCTAAAGGACGGCAGACTGCATCAAACCGGCAAAATTGGGTGTCAAACGAAAGAAGAGAATCTGAGGATTCCGAAAATGTGCTCCAGAGCAAAGGTCAAGGTCAAGGTCACGCTCAAAATTGACCTCAAACTTGGCACTTTTTCGCACATCTTGCCTGCTAACTTCCAAGACGTTTTGAAATGTTTTGAGGCTTATCAGTTCCCTATTTGTGGTTCATCTTACGATACAAGGCTGCTCAAAGGTCAAGGTCACAGAAGAGTATCCCTGCTAGAGGCTATTTCACTGATTCAAGTTAGTAATAATAAATAAGACAATTTTGCCATCCGGAAGCTCTAAATGAAAGCTTAGAGGAAAATAGATGCCAGATTCGTGATCAGCGGGTACAAATCCATCATAAACGTCCTTTCATATGTCAAGGTCAACCAGAGGTCATTCGAGGTCACATGAGGTCAACATAAAACTTGACCTTTTCCGAACAAAATTTATATCATTCGACGCGGCTTGACAAGGCGAATGCGATGGTACCACTGCCGTAGCTCTAGGACCATTTTTGTCGAAGTTATTTGCGAAAAACTAAAACCACATTTCGGGGTCGTTGACCTGACCTCTGACCTCAGGTCGCCAAAACTATTTTTCTATTTTTCTCTAGGTCAAACGCTACACAACCGTGCTCGTAATTTGTCTTTATCTCTAAAACTCTATTTTTAGCAGCTATTTGAAGTTTGCGTCTGTGACGCCGAAGTTTGCCGTGCAGGGGTATAGAAAAATGGACCTTGTGACGTCATCAAGGGGGCTAGGTCCAAATTTTTTACTTCAGAAGATGTCAAATTGATGGGAAAAAAGGTACTGAAAGTTTCGCTTTCCTAACCCTAAGCGTTCGGGAGCTATCGCAAATATTCGCCAGGGGGGGGGGGGCGAAAAACGCCCCCCCCGGGCCCGCGAGGGTTATGACACACGTGGGTGTGGTGTGTTTGTTGGCTTGAAGGGCATATTCCCACGAGTTGGAGATAATCTTACTGGACTTGAGACGATAAAAAATGTCTTAAATGCTTAAAAGCCAAAAACGTCAAGCAGCCTTTAGGTAATAACGAAAATAAAATGCGTAAGACGGTGTGTATTGAAACGCCCAGTCCGATCGGATTGTACGACCTTTTATGTGGTCATTTAGTTACTCACAAGGGTGCAGCAGTTTGACAATATGTCATACATATTCGGTAGGCTCATTCCTTCTTCTCCGAATTTCGCCCGATTTTCTTCATCTTAGTTAAACCCGCGCCCCGTAGGGCTACCGGCGGACCCTACCACCCGTAGGGGGGGGGGCGTTTCGGCCCCCCTCCCCCCCTAAGATCTCGGAAAGTTACCGGCCGATTTTCAAAATTCAAACGGCATTTGATAGCCCTACCCGGGAACTACCTTGTGACCAAATTTCATTGACCTAGGTCAAACCGATGACGTCACAGGTCAGGTCAAAGGTCAGATTTTCACCGTTCACAGGCAATTCAAGAAATGTGCTGTGAAATCGAGTAAATTGGTAATTTATTGAAAACCATCGATGGTATATTGTTCGTCAAACACATACTTTGCTATCTGAGGTCACTGATACCAGGTCAGGTCACAGCGAGGTCAGGTCACCGGGGGTCACAATATGAATGTGTCGTGTGATACATGTTTTATGGTCCATTTTACATGACAAATGCGATTATGTGGGTCAGGCAGCCTTTGGGGCCAGCTTAGGTCACGTTTTGGTCAAGGTCAGGTCAAGGTCAGGTCAAATTAGGTCAAATTTCAAAGTTAATATTTTTGCATAAAACGGGTATCGAATCGATGCAGTTCGTCACGGGGTGTTCAATGGTGGTCTTTGTTTTGCTCTACGAGTTCTAGAATTGCCAAAAATTGAGTTTGAAAATTTGACGTCATCATTTTTGAACAGTTTTTTCGCTATAACTTGGCCAAAAAACGAGGTATCGATCTGAAATTTGGTATGTAGATAGAAGACGGTAGGTACTATCACATATATTCCGGTTTTTTTCGAAACTCAAAAAACTTTTTGGATTTTTTGGCTAATATATCCAAAAAAATGCTTTTTTGATTTTTGGGGATCAAAACTCAAAAATTTCAAAACTCCGAGATAGCAGTTTTGTAGCCCTGTCAATTCTACACCTTTTATGTCTTGATCATTTTTCTGTATCTTCAAAGCTGTAGGCCTGACAGGTCTTCTCGCGAAGGTCTTTTTTCGGTCGAAAATGACAGAACATGACGTCACTCTGACATCATTTGTGGCCAACCTGTCACAGCCTCTGGAAAAACTTTTGGTCACAATGTGTAAAATTGATGCCCGGAGGGGTCCTGAAAGTTTGGTGGCGATATCTCAAGCCGTTTAGGAGATATCGACCGAAAAGGACAGGGGGGCCGTTTTGGCCCCCCCTACGGGGCGCGGGTTAATGTTACGGCACGTGCCACGTGCCAACTTAGGGGTGTCGAAATTGTTCCACATAAAGTAACTCCGCAATGGATGGGCCCATTACAGTTAAACTTCGTCAATATATAGTTAGGCACCCAGTGGCCAATGCATTTCCAATTTTCCATGTGTCACTATGAGGGTGCTACTGCACGTGCGCACGTGCGGGGTGCCGCTTTCATATCTCAAGAACGGCTGGGCGGATAACAATCAAACTTGGTACACAAATGTCACATCGATGCTCGCACTGCATTGATCAGTGCTTACATTGGTGCAGAGTCGTTAGGAAACCGATGAAATGAGACGCGTGGTGTTTATGCCTTTCTGTTCCAGCAGCTGATTGATCCGCAACAGGAGATCCTTGTTTGTGAAGGCTTCGTCTCCCTTTTCCACCCCTTGTTTAAAATAACATTAACAATGTACGAAGAAGATCACGCATCAAAATTGTTTTAGGCGGCTATCTTGGGCCACGGCTGCGGAGTTGTAGTCAGAGCCAGCGGTTCAGTTCCGACTCGGAGTCGGTTGATTTTTAAAGCTGTAGTCGGAGTATGAGTCGAACGTCACCGAAAAGTCATCGACTCCACAGACTTACCATGAGGGCTGCAGAGTCGGAGTCAGAGTCGGAGTCTGTGTGAATCGACAGTTCTGCCCGGAGGAGTCGGAGTCGATACGATACCTATTTGGATACCGGAATCGGAGTTGGAGCCAAAGTCACTGAAATTTCATCGACTATAGGTACGCAGCACTGGTTGGATCTTTTTCATAGAGCGTCTTGAATGACATATTGAGCGGCAATGACGTTAGCAATTCCGTTCAACTTTTTCATTAGACTTATAGATAGTACTTAACGTTCGTTTTGTTCTTTGATCGGACGATTTGTTTGATTTAGACCAAGTAAAGACTCATGTGAAAAATAGCGAAAACGACACGTGCTGGCGAAGTCTCCAATAACTCCCTGTTTCACGATTTAATGAGGAAATAACATGGAACTGCTTATCTTATTACTGACCCTGCACATAAATCTATCAATTTCTTTGCTTTTACTGACATATAAAGACATAACCTTTTGAAATATTGCACAACAAGCCCGCTACTACATCACAGTCCCATGTGTCACAATGCTAATCAGCGGCGTTCACTCGGCTTGCTCCTAACTTACGATAATTCTCCCGCTAGATGGCAGGCCTGAGCTCAATGTCGCCAAAAACTGCGAAGACACCAATCCATTATTATCTCATCCATGGTACAACCAAGCCGCTGTCACATTTCTCACACACCCGCGTTATCATACGCACACACTCATCCATCTCACCATCGAATGCCTCATTCCTGTGCCGTACCCTGTGGGTCAGCAGCTGCAGGGGCGTTCCACGACAAATCGACAAATAAAAAATTAAATTTGCACCCTCATATTTTATTTTTCGTTGAAAACTGGTGTAAGGGGTTGTGATCCCAGCCAGCCTTCCCAAATGGGGCCCATATGGGCCCCAAGTGGGCAGCAAACTGGGGCCCATCTGGGCTGCCCACTTGGGGCCCAGATGTGTTTGTCATGGGCGTCCAACTGGGTCCCATATGGGCAGCCCAGATGGCCCCATATGGGGCCCAGCCGGGGCACATATGGGTCCCACATGGGCTTTCCCAGCCGGGACCCACATGGGTATAATTGAAGAATCCTACATGGG